GGCATGCCATGTACTCTCTTTGAATTGTTTGTTTGTCAGAAAGACGTAGGCATGGAAAATGACATTTTTTATAAGTCATCGTTTTAGAGACATAAAAACGAAGACAAAATTGTCATCATTTACTACTGGACAATGTTAACTTACTTGGTTTTAAAAAGATAATTAAGTTTGAGCGTCAGATTTTTTTAACTTGATGAGGCACACAAATCAATTTAATTTTCTCTTATTGCTCTTAGTTTTAGGCTGCCTCTTTACCCTCTTCACAAAAACAAGGCTAGACAATATTGTTTTTTTTTTAATCACGAAGGAATTGAACAGATAATCTATTACATAATTATCTATATTTTTCATCATTAGACTAATCCTGCTGGTAGTTTGCTAGACAATATTGTTAATATTTAATTTTCTTAATTTTTAAGTTATATTGAGAATAACATCCAAGTCTTTTGATTGTTAAAAAAATTATGGCATTATTTAACTTTAAATATTCTATTAAAATAATATACACAAAAATGTGCGCATTCAAATCGAACAAAGAAGAGGTGCATGATTTCTGCAAAAATAAATATATACTCGTCACATGATCAATTTTTTTTATATCAACATGATCAATATTTGAAGTCTTGCATGGAATGTGTAAGTTGAAATTACATATATACGCTATTTGCACTGCGTGATTTATGATAGTCACTGTTTTGGCCAGCCCAATCGATCAGTCCAATATCATCGGCCCAATGACAATGGGCCATATGACCCCAGCTACATCACCCTAACTGCAATCTATGAAGCACCGACACTACAAAAATTTTGACGTGTCATGTCCGACACTTCTCGACACTCCAATACTCGTTACAAAGACTCAAAAAAAGGTTCAAATATTACGTTGCGTTGCATTTTGAGTTTCAACTATTAGATTCGTTAGATTACGATTACGATTACGATTTTATTAAGTTTAATATAAACATTTGGTATATATTATGTTTCTTTGCAAAATTGATAGGTATTATAAGTTTAGCTTTATTTTTTTGTTAAATTAATGAATACTAAATATAATATAAACTATATAAATTAAAAATATTATATAATATCAAAACGTGTCCTAACGTGTCAAAATTTAACATTTTTCAAAATTAACGCGTCGGAGTATCGTGTCGTGTCGTATTTCATGTCCCGTGTCTGTGTCGGTGCAACATAAGCTGCAATCCTATTGTGACAGTGCTGACACCATTCCTCCACCTATCAGACATCTTAACATAAGACATTAAAATATTTTACGTTTGGGCAGTCACCCTTTCCTTTGTCTACTTAGACACAAAATGTTTTATTGGGAACACTTCTCTCTCACCTTCCCCTATATAATAGCCACTATTAGCATTGCAGCGGCCGCAAAGTGCCTTGCTCTCCAAGGCCAAGCTACCACAGCTCTTTTTTATAACAGTTAACTTGACTCACTCTTCCACTAAGATGGAGGTTAACTCTAATAAATATCCTCTCTTTTTTCTCCATGAATACACATAATATAACTATTTTTATGAGCTATTACTTTACTAACTTGAAGAGCCATTATAGTGATTCAACATCACTCCTCATTATTATCCTATCTACTTAGGTCTCCTTTATATACCTTTGATTCATACCATTTATTATTAATGGGTAAATTTTAACATGTTTCAAGATCATGATAATCCTAACATTAAAAAAGTGACATATAATTTTTTTTTTCTCTATCTTCTCTCCTCAATCTCTCTTTCACTTCATCCAATTCCTTGTACGCCTGCAGCGCCAAATTTCATCTCTTATTAACGTCACCCTGTAGTAATTACTACACTTTTTAGGATTATATACATGACTCTGTCACCTTACTAACACTCAGTCACGTTGATTTTGCATAAATTACACACTTCCCTATATACTACCTTAACACTCACATCTATATAAGCATGTCATTATATTAATTTTACCAAATTGAAATTGGGTAAAGGAATTTTTCGATCAACAGAGATAGGGGTGAAAATATGGGTTGAGTTCAGCGGGTCAACCTGTCAATTTGTCAAAATGGGGCGAGTTGGGTTGTGGTTTTCAACCCACCTCAACCTGTCCCGCTTAGAAGTGGGTCAAAACGGGTTCAACCTGCCGCGGGGTGGGTTGACCCGCTGGATTATTTTTTATTTTATTTTTTATAATTAGATAGTATTTCATTAGTCTTTAAATTTTTGTGATATCCAATATTTTTATCTTAGTACTTCCTAGAAAAAATAAAGAATAACAATTTTATTTATGACAAATGTTATCTACATATAAATTCTTAAAGAATGTTTGACAAATATTAGTATACATTTAAGATTGAGACTAAAAAAATATAGAAAAGTGTGAAATAAAATAAAATAATATTAGAAAAATTCATAAAATTAATTTATTTTTAAATTTTAATTAATTTTTTTTAATTGGCGAGTTTGAGGGTTGACCCGTCAACCTACCATAAAACGGGGTGAGTTCATTTTTCCAACCCATATTTTTTGGCGGGTCAACCTGCCCCATTCCATTTTTGGCAGGGCGGGGCGGGACGGGTTGGGACGGGTCAAACTAAATTGCCACCCCTAAATAGAGATAAGTTATCTTCACGGTGTTTAAAACAATATTGTTTTGGGACTAAAATCAATTTATTTGTGTAATTCTAATATATTATAGAATTATATTAGTTTTTATTATTAAATTTTTTAATTTTACAATATCAAAACGACATCATTTTAAATTTAGTGATGATAAATTTACTCCCTGATTTTTTTTCCATTGAAATTTAAAATTAATACGATAAAATGTTTTCGATTTTTTTTTTTTAGTACAGAAATGTTTTCGATTTCTTTTTTTTAGTACAGAAATGTTTTCGATTTCATCCAAACATCGATTAACACTCGAAGGTGTTCTCACAAAGTTAGCGTATAACCAATCTTGTACGGAAAGGAACAGATAGTATTATAGAAGAACAAGCATTTTATAGCCCACAGATCCAACGATAAGGCCGTCCCTGTATGTCACAATAGGTATCTATCTTTTTTTCGGGACACTCACTAAACTGTTACGTCTGTACAAAAAAATTATCAGATTATTACATCAACAGTAAATTTTGTCAAAATGGCACGCGGCATAATTCGTTACACAGTGTAGTGAATTATGCATGCAAGTAATTCGTTACACAATATAGCAAAATATGCCACGTCAGAATATTCAGAACCAAAAATGTCACATGTCAAATTTTGAGAAATTCGTTACATAGGATATCGAATTTCTCAAAATTTGACATGTGTCATTTTTGGTTCATACGTGACATATTTTATTACACTGTGTAGCGAATTACTTGTATGCATAATTCGCTACACTGTGTAGCGAATTATGTTGCGTGACATTTTGACAAAATTTACTGTTAGCGTAGTAATCTGATAATTTTTTTATTCAAACATAATAAAATAGTTACTGTTCCGTTTTTTTTCTTTTTTTTTGGGCAGTTAGGTATCTATCATTTTATCCCATAGTCTCTTATCTCATTTTTCTTGCCAAATTTCCTCTGTTACATGTCTTATCACTCACTAATCAGCGTCATGTCATGCCAGAGAAATGGTTTTTGATATTACTAATGTGGCATATACGTATATATGCCACATCACACCAGACGGATATGCCATTTTCGTCCTATTTGTATATTTTTTATTGAATTTATTCATTTTTTAATATAGTTGTCTTCTTTTTACTAAAAAACTGTTTATTTAATTGTTTAAGAAATGAAGAGACGCATGCAGAAAGCTCATGATTGTGTCCTAGTCCAGCGCACGCAAATGCAAGCCTTTTGTGTATTTTAAGACTCTGATCTGCGCATTATCTTCACTCAATGTCTTCCTATTCTTACCACATTTTACTATTCATTTATTTCCCTTTCCCTTCGCTAGCATTGCCCCGGTTTTTTCTTCCAACTCACAAACACAAAAACTTGTTCCATTAATTGTAATGACTGTTTTGCCTTTCAGGAGGTTTTAATTGTACCATTACTTTTTTTGGAAAAACTATTATTATGCTCAGTGATAACTTTATTTTCTATACAATTTTTTATAATTGTGTTACCATTTTTATTTTTATTTTCAGGTGGTATAGTTCACAAATTTATTTTTATGACATAATATAACTTATCTTTTTAATATAAGATTAATAAAATTCTTACTTTTTATACTAATGTTTTGCTAATTAGTAATTAATATCTTATTATTGTTGAGGTACTCTTCTTCTACATGCAAAACAAAGATTTTTGTTTTTTGGAAATAATCTAAATCAATTTATCGCTTCGCGATTAGTCTGATTCAGATTAGGAATTTAGACTTCTCCTAAAATCAGTACTACAGAGAATTGAACATCAATTCTCACCTTAATCTATTCTATTCAGTTCCATAAAAGTAACTGAATTACTATCATTTTGATCAAAACTAAAACTCTTCAACTCACCTTTATGGGCATTGATGGTTTAAAAAAAAAAAAAAAGAACTTATCTGCGTAAGTCTCGTACCACAGCAGCTATGCGCATGCTTTTCATAAAAATTTGCAATATCAACATATACATAAAGAATGAGTCTGTCTTTTGACGTTTTAAGTAGGTTGGTGATGATACTATAGCTAGATGAAAATACAGAAGATTCAAACTTGCAGTAAATGCTACAAGAGAAATTGGTTGATTCCTTTTCCCCGCCCCAACAATAACAGCTAAATTTTTCTTCTAATATTTTAAAAAAATTAATCCTTGTGTATAAAATGTTAATTCAAAATTATTATTTTTAAGTAAGTAATTTAGTTAACTTAAAAATTATATGTTAATATCTAAAAATGATAAAAGAAAAATTCAAAAATAAAGAACTAATACAGGACAGGAGAGAGGAGGACAAACATGACAATACATGCTGCAGTTCAATAAAAATGATATGTTAATGTGTTTGTGTTGTGCAGTTCAATTTTGAAAAACTATTATATATCTTAAAAAACAACAACATGCTCGATTTCGCTGCACAGTGGAAAGAAACAGTGACCAATCCTTAGAAACGAAACACTCAACTCAACAACAACACCCCACAAAAGCAAAAAGCCTGAAACCTCAACTAGCACCGCACCACTGCTTTCTCTTTGAGTTAGGGTTTCCTCTCTCTCTCTCTTCCTCTCTTTCTCTCTTCTTTATTTAAAAAAATAAAAAATGAAAAGAAGAAGCATGCACAATCACAGAGGAATTTCACTGTGCCAAAGATTCTCTTCTTTCCATTAGTAGCCAAAAAATCTTATATATCTTTGTGATCTTTCCATGTCTTATTTTCCATCTGTTTTGTACCCTGTGATTCTCCTTCAAAGCTTGAAAAGGATGGTTCATAGATCAACCAGAATTCCAATTCCAATAGATTAGTTGAAGTAGATGGAGATCCGTGGAGCGGTGTCGTTTCGTAACGGGGTTGAGGTGATGTTAGCTTAATCAAATCCAGTGAACGACGACGTTTCTCGGGGTGTTTCTAGTTTTCGGTAATTTTAAGGAAACAAAAACTATTTCTGGGGTTGTACGGAAATGTTTGTGGGGAACCAGAACCAGATCGTTGCTGTTCTTTGATTTCCAGAGGTTTTTTTATTTTATTTTATTTTTAACGTTTTGTGGTGTTTGTAGCTGAGGTAACAACAGTAACTAACAAAGGTTGTTCGTTGCTTGTGCAAAATGGGTATTTGGTTTTAGAAACAGGCGAAGAAGTAGTGGTAGAATTAGAAGTAGAAGTGGCTTTTCAGTTGTGGTTTGGTTGTTGTTAACGTTAACGTTTAACGTTTGTGTTTGAATTGGCTGCGGCAATGTCCTGCAAGGATGGTAGCAAACACTTAATGGATAACGGCAAGTATGTCCGTTACACACCTGAGCAGGTTGAAGCCCTTGAGAGGCTTTATCATGATTGTCCTAAACCAAGTTCAATTCGCCGCCAGCAACTCATACGCGAGTGCCCAATTCTCTCCCACATTGAGCCAAAGCAAATCAAAGTTTGGTTCCAGAACAGAAGGTACCGTTGCCTTCAACCACACCCAAATCTTTGTTCTTTTACCATGTTCTATTTAGTTAGCTCAATTTTTTTTGTATTTTGTAATGTAACGTTTCCTTAACGTGTGCTTAATGCAACCGGTTAGGATAGTTTGAATTTTTCTTTTCATTTTTTGCAATTTTGAAATGATGGAATCAATTATGTGTTTCAACTACATTGTTTTTTTAGCCAACAAACTCATACTGTTAGTTATGTTGCTATTTGTGTGAGTATGTGTGTGTGCGTGCGCGCTTGTTGAGGGAAATGGTAAATGAACACAACATGAAGCGTTCTGTTTTGATTTTGTGAGTTCAGATGTAGAGAGAAGCAGAGAAAAGAGGCTTCGCGGCTGCAAGGTGTGAATCGGAAGTTGACTGCAATGAATAAGCTGCTGATGGAGGAGAATGATAGGTTGCAGAAGCAGGTGTCTCAACTGGTGTATGAAAATGGTTATTTTCGTCAACACAACCAGAATGTAAGAATTTAGTTTGTGATTCTTTCTAGCCTGTTTGCAATTGGGTTACATTGAAGATTTTGTAATTAATGATGGCCAATCTAATAGATTCTAAATTTTTAATGTTTATTTGTATAATTTTTGCAACTTATGGGCTCAATTGTTCTTCATAGTTATTTACAATGGTGCTTTCTCTGCAGACTACTCTTGCAACCAAAGACACAAGCTGTGAATCAGCTGTGACGAGTGGTCAGCACAGTTTGACAACTCAAAATCCTCCAAGGGATGCAAGTCCTGCAGGGTTAGTGGGAACATGATTGTTGGATACCTTTCTGTCATCGTGGTCTGTGACAATTTGTTTGTGTATTTATAGCTTATGGAATCATGCCTTACTTTTTTTTGCCCAGGCTTTTGTCCATTGCAGAAGAGACTTTAGCAGAATTTCTTTCTAAGGCTACTGGGACTGCTGTTGAGTGGGTCCAAATGCCTGGAATGAAGGTATCCCAATAACTCTTATCATTGGTTGACCCATTAGTTATTTTATTCTTCAATTATTTCTTAGGAATAAAGCATAAACAGAACGGTAAAAGAACTGTGAAATTGTCATCTTGGAATAACTTATAACCCTCTGTTCTGATAACCCTCTTTGTCAATGATTTCTATTCTTTTGAATAAACTCACATTTCTTCATTAATTCTTGTTGACGCGCACAGCCTGGTCCGGATTCCATTGGAATCGTAGCTATTTCTCATGGTTGCACTGGTGTGGCAGCAAGAGCCTGTGGTCTAGTGGGACTAGAACCCACTAGGGTAAGTGGCCAAGATTTACTATCTATGTACTAATTGTTTTGCTTGAGTTTTTACATCACATGGTCAAACATACTCTTTTCAGGTTGCAGAAATCCTCAAAGATCGGCCTTTGTGGTTTCGCGATTGCCGAGCTGTTGATGTTCTCAATGTGCTGCCCACAGCAAATGGTGGAACCATTGAGCTGCTTTATATGCAGGTAAAGTAAAATTTATAGTGCTTGAATGAAGACTCTATATGTCAGCAGATTGGTACTAAATCACTTATTTGTATGCTTACTCTTTGCATTTAATGATCAGCTATATGCGCCAACAACATTGGCACCTGCTCGAGACTTCTGGTTGTTGCGTTACACTACTGTTTTAGAAGATGGCAGCTTAGTGGTAAGTGACTCTAAATAATTCTTTGCCTAAAATTTGTATTTGACTAGATATTGTAGTTAATAACAAATCTCACTTGTGCAATGGCCCAGTCCTACTGTTATATTCTGTAGTCCTCCTGCAACTCATATATGTCTAATTCATTCTTAATGTGTGCCTTAGATCTGTGAGAGGTCTCTTAAAAATACTCAAAATGGTCCAAGCATGCCTCCTGTGCAGCATTTTGTTAGAGCAGAGATGCTGCCTAGTGGGTATCTAATTAGACCTTGTGATGGAGGTGGTTCCATCATCCACATTGTTGATCATATGGATTTGGAGGTACATTAATTCAACTTAGTTGCATTAATAACTATTTTTTGTTAACTTTAAAAATAACTTAAAACACGTTTATACTATTGTTAGCCATGGAGTGTGCCTGAAGTGCTGCGTCCACTGTATGAATCATCAACGGTGCTGGCTCAGAAGACAACTATGGCGGTATGGCTGTTGTATCTAATTTAGTGATAGTACAACAGTATAAATAATGTGTTTCTTTCTGTTCCTATTTAAGTAAGATTTTACTAAATCTTATAAACTTTATGGTAATAAGAATATTGATTAGTGAGTTTAAAACAGCCATGGCGTCTTTAAGTCTTTCTCTTTTTCATACAGGCCCTACGTCAGCTAAGGCAGATTTCGCATGAAGTTTCTCAGTCTAACGTCACTGGGTGGGGTAGACGACCAGCAGCTCTACGAGCACTTAGCCAGAGATTGAGCCGGTTAGTATATTCTACTGGGGGCCCTGATTTTGGTTCAAAATCCTTGCAAATAAATTTGGAATCTCACTTATATTTCCTGGCAGGGGTTTCAATGAGGCACTAAATGGGTTTACTGATGAAGGATGGTCCATGATCGGCAATGACGGCATAGATGATGTTACTATTCTAGTGAATTCGTCCCCTGACAAGTTAATGGGTCTGAATCTTTCATTTGCCAATGGATTTCCTTCTGTTAGTAATGCAGTGTTATGTGCCAAAGCATCAATGCTATTGCAGGTCAGAATGCTTAGGAATTTCAATGTTCCTTTAAATTATCAAGTTAAATTCTGAACAACCAATTATGTCTGTTTTGTTGCTCTAAACAAATTTTGTACAAGGACGCAGGTCAAGCTCATAATGTTATATTGTAATCACTTAGTGCATAATGTTTACTACATCATGGTCTTGTCTTTGCATCAGCAGTTGAGCACATTTTCTATTCAACTGATCATATTAATAGTGACTACCAAATGTCTAGATGACAAAACATTGCTGAGATGGGTACATATAAGGACTAATTTGTTCAGACATCAACTTTTCTAATCAATAAATGGTTAACATGCCCTATTTGTTATATCATTTTCATTTCTGTCCTTTGCCTGTGATGCTGTTCTCCTACACAGACAAAAGAAATTGCTTAGCTAAACCAAAAACAGTTTCAGTTGCACATATCCAATAGTTTATATTAAGTCTTAAGATTATCCTTATATTTCTCTATTGCTATATACCATTTCTTTTTGTCCAGAATGTGCCTCCAGCCATTCTCCTAAGATTCCTGCGGGAGCATAGATCAGAATGGGCAGACAACAACATGGATGCTTACTCAGCTGCTGCCATTAAAGTTGGCCCTTGTAGCTTATCAGGATCTCGTGTTGGAAATTATGGGGGTCAAGTTATACTCCCTCTAGCACACACTATTGAGCATGAGGAGGTGATAAATTAGTGCTAATTATGCTATACAGCTGTAGCAATTTTATAATTCTTGATATACCAACTCTTTTTGTATTCACACTAGTTTTTGGAAGTCATTAAGTTGGAAGGAATTGCTCATTCTCCTGATGACCCAATAATGCCAAGAGAAGTGTTTCTTTTGCAAGTAAGCTATTTTTTCCCCTCAAGTTGCTTGGTCTATGCTTCACCCTTTCACAGATTTTACGTACTTCGTTTCCTTGTTTTGTGTTACTAATATGTAGAAAGTATATTTGATGTACTACTTATCACACTTGGAGGAATTTGGTAGATGTCCTTTGTCCCACAAATTGTGCCGTTTATATGTTTTGAACTAATTAAGGATTTTAGTCATCATACAATACTCCAACCTCAATATATACTGGGAAACTTGGAACACATCAGAATTCAGATGTGTTCTCCTGGTCCTGTTGATATGATGTTATTCTTTTGCTTTCCCTCTATAAGAAAACAAAACATCACTGATGTCCATATTAGCCACTTAATAATTGAATTTTTTTCTTGCTATGATCTATGAGTAGAAAAACAATAATATATCCCCAAGCCTCTTGAATGGATAGTTTGCTAGTTTAATTCAGTATCTTTTGAACTCTTGCTGCTATTAGAATGAGGAAGTCTTGTGTTCTTAACATTGTTATGGTTTCTAGGATACCCTTGCTTGTTATTTTCTTTCTTATAATTCATTTGATGTTGTTTTGGTAGTTCTGCAGTGGAATGGATGAGAATGCTGTTGGCACCTGTGCCGAACTTATATTTGCTCCAATTGATGCTTCCTTTGCTGATGATGCCCCCCTTCTACCTTCTGGATTTCGCATCATTCCCCTTGAATCTGGAAAGGTTAGCCTCATGTTGTTAAAACGGTTTATTTGTTTGTATTGACCTTTCCCAAGAATCATTTTATTATTACAATGAAATTTTTTGCAGGAAGCTTCCAGCCCTAATCGCACCCTTGACCTTGCATCTGCCCTTGACATTGGTCCCACTGGAAACCGAACTTCAAATGATTATTCTGGAAATCACGGTTGTATGAGATCTGTGATGACAATAGCATTTGAATTTGCATTTGAAAGTCATATGCAAGAGCATGTAGCATCTATGGCACGGCAATATGTTCGAAGCATTATCTCATCAGTCCAAAGGGTAGCATTAGCACTTTCTCCTTCCCATTTGGGTTCACATGCTGGGCTCAGGACACCATTAGGAACTCCAGAAGCACAAACCCTTGCTCAGTGGATCTGCAACAGTTATAGGTATGTAAACTTTACTGTGTATCCTTTTATTCTGAGGCTGGTGCAATGTATTTTGTGATGATACAAGTTGGCTTATCCTGTGTGATGTTGTTGTTAGTTATTACGTACTGATGCCCTTTTGCTTAGTGTGAAACCATTGTTATTCAAAGACTTCCAAAAGGATGAGAACTGAACTTAATATGCTATCTAATTCAATAAAGAAACTGCAGCTCTTAAGTTAATGATAGCTTCGATGAGTTGCACATCGGGAGAGAAGTTTCCTCTTTCCTGATAGCCATTTCTTGTCCTCCAGGATCCCAACTACAACTACTTATTTGCATATTAGCGAAAAAATAATCTTTCTAGCACAGATGCTGTGTTCTGTAAATAGATGCATGGCACCAAGTTCTGATGTAGTTTTGGAGTTCTAAGTTTCTAACTGGTTGGATGTCATGCAAATCCCTGATCTCCGCTTTTGTAAAACCTTGTGTCATCATTTCTAATTTGTTATCAAATACTTTGGCAAGATTAATTGAAATACTTCCATTTAAAATACAAGCCCTGAATATGCATTACATTAATGTTCGTTTTGACATCGTTCATAAATTCACAGTGCTCACAAATTTGTGATCCCAAAGTTCCCTCATTATTTTGTATTTTTTTTTTAAATGGTGTTAAAAAAAATCATGGTTCAATCTCAATGAAACTTAGGGTTTTTAAGGCATAAGCAGTACTTTGATGTGCATGTACTTGTTCCTTCTAACTTGTAAGTTCTTGTAGACAAGAAATCTAAGAAGTTACTGTATTTGTTATGTTCCTCCTCTTTTTGAATGTCACGTGGTTAGATTTATTGCGTAAGCTCGTACTGTTTTTTGTAGGCAGTTACTGGTATTTTAATCACCCTTCTGTTGTATGACTATTTTGATTTTGTAGGTGCTACTTGGGTGTGGAGCTACTTAAATCTAATAATGAGGGGAACGAATCTTTACTCAAGTCCTTGTGGCATCACTCAGATGCAATATTGTGCTGTAATCTAAAGGTATGCTTGAAAGCTATTTCAATTTCATAGTACTTTGCGCGGAGTGCAATTCAATTTCTGTAATGTAAAAGATATTAAAAAAAAAAGTTGTGTAAAGAACCAATTCAACCCAAAAGCTTAAGCTGTTGGCAAAATGGGCCAAGGCTGAATAGCCTGATAAGCTATGTGGAATGGGTTAGTATTCAGCTGGTCGAAGCACAATTTGACCCAGCCTGAATTCATTCCGGCTGGAATTGACACCTCATTGATCCCCTGATGGTTTTTATACAAAAAGGCTACAATAAAGTTGAATTTTATTTTCTCTATAATAAATTATGAAGATTTTATTTTATTTTGCCTCATAGACCCCTTTTTTTACTTGGTACCTTGAAAGGAGCTTCACCTGTCAGTGTTGCATGTCTAAAGTCTAATAATTATTCTTGTTCAAATTATGATGCATATAAGTCAAAGTATAATACTAGGTGGATGATATATTCTAATTTATTTTTATACTCATCTATTTTTGTTATAACACCTGAAATGACTTAAAAAAACGGTTTCAACTATAACTATTATTAGAATCTTCTTCTACCTTGTTTGAAAGCACATTGATTGAACTTTGTTTATGCAGGCATTGCCAGTGTTCACTTTCTCAAATCAGGCAGGGCTTGACATGCTGGAGACTACCCTAGTTGCATTACAAGATATAGCTTTGGAGAAAATATTTGATGATCACGGACGGAAGATTCTCTTTTCTGAGTTTCCCCAGATTATTCAACAGGTGTACTAATTTTTTATTGAAATAAAGCATTGATTCCACTTCCATAAGGCTTGGAATTGAATTTGTTCTTTTTTTATTAGATGTACTACATACACATTTTTTTGTGTGTGTTGTATAATTATGCTGCAGTCTCAATATGATCCAAGGATAAATTATTTTTGCACTGGGTGAATCTCTTCCTTTTATTTCTTTCTTTACCCCTCTTAAATGTGGATATGTTGCCAACATAATTGGTAGCATTTTTAAGCTTTGAAATAATGCTTTCGATTAATTTCTCCTCCTTTTCTTTTGACAGGGTTTTGCGTGTCTTCAAGGTGGTATTTGTCTCTCAAGCATGGGGCGCCCTATCTCATATGATAGAGTTGTTGCTTGGAAGGTGTTGAATGAAGAAGAGAATGCTCACTGTATTGGCTTTATGTTTATGAACTGGTCTTTTGTTTGACATTATGTTCCTTAGTATATGTATCGAATTGTTAAGATGAAGATTTACTTTAAGACATTTATGCTTTGTTGGTTGGTCTGTTAATGTATTTGCTCTTAAGACTCAGACTGCATATAATATGACTATTTATGAGTTAGCATGTGTTACTTGTTTCATTGTTTAATCTCCTACCAATATTTGGTGCATTCTTATGAAGTGTGCACCTTGTGATGTGGGATACATTTTTATCGATGCACTGACGCAAATTTCTGAGGGAACAAGATTGGCTGATCAACCTTAAATTTTAAGTCACAATGTATGCTTGTGTGTTGTGTGTACCATGTGATGATTTTTTTCTTTCTATATTTTTGGGTTATGCACAATTTACAATTATAAAACAATCCGGGTTCTCTAATTGTTGTGAGTAAAGGTTTGCCATTATGTGGGGTGTGTACTCTATAGCTAAAGATGATAAGTTGGTGCTCATTTAATTGAGTTATTCAGAAGAAATGTAATGTAAATTGACACGGTAGGAAGGGGAAAAATGGATCATGCTTCATATTTGTATGTATCAATTTATATTTAAGAGCAAAAGTATCATGTACATGCATTTAAAATGAAATGAAGACAGATATTTAAAACAAATGAAGGTCATATGAAGTGCGTGACAATCCAATAGTGCTTTAAAACAAAAGTGAAGGGACAATGAATTAGAAAACGAGGATGATATAAAACAGCTGATGTGGCAAATGTATACAAGTTAACAATATTATATTGATGTGACATCGTTACAGTCAGTAGTGCATATAATAGATAAAAGAGGAGTGGATGTGAGGTAGTTTCTTTCTTCTCAGAAGAACATAACTTGGGTCATAGGTCTTTAAGTGTAGAATGGCCTACTTTTATCTGCACATTTTGCTCCTTGCATTTTGAAATTATGAGTATGATTGGGTCCAAATCTTAATAACTAGTGAATGGAGTTTCCCTCTGTTAGGCGTCAATGGTATCATCAACTTCTGCAAAGGACCTATCCATGGATGAAGATTATATGCCTCATAACTGCCCAATGACAATCCTCTCAGCATCACCTGAGAGCCGAAAAAAAGAAAAAGCATACATCAATGTTTATAGAATCATATAAAATAAGACGCAATTAAACTATGGGGTTTATGTCTATAATGTTACAGAACAAAACCTCCAATTTTCTGCAGACACAATGTCTGTGGGATCCACAGTAATTTTTTTTTGAAAAAAAGAAAGAAAAGGGCTGGTGTTGTTATCTATCTATTTGTAGGAAAAGAAATTATATTCCTGTAACATAACTTTTCAATTTCCCTTAAACTATACCTGTTATTTTTGGAAAATCCATTCACCCAAACCCATGCATTCGATTAGGACCAGGTATCTAGCGCATTTCAAAAATGAACTGCAGCTCACACGCCTCACAATAAATAATATATTTTTGTTTGAGATTAATATTTCTCCGACAAGCAAGAGATAATTTATCTCCGCTAAACATGAGATAATTTATCTCTACATACATTTTTATAATAATAAGAGTGTATGGCTAACATTTTTATAATAATAACAAAAATAATTATGTGGATGGATGGTTCCCTTGGTCACAAGAATTAACTAGACTTAGGCTTAATATCATTCACATATTCATAGCTTTAGCGCACAGCCAAATGTATATGCAACTATACATATCTTTATTCTCTTCATTTACACGCCCTTAACCCAATTCAGTATCATTTATAAGAGAAAGACATCTGAGAGAGACTTCTACTTTATTTAATTAGTATCTTCCATGCAACTAACTTCAACAACTTTCCTTCCTCCTTTTTATGGTTTCCTTAAGCTCCTCGTGAAATGAAAGTTCATGTATGTGGAGGAAAGCTCGTATATCGTCTAGTTCCTTTTCCTTCTTTTTCCATAAAAATAACTTTGCCACAAAAGAAGAAAGTAGAGGCAAGTACATATGGTTTCACCATGCTAGCATGTGAATACCCCACAAGTTGAATTGGTGTTCAGTTGGTACTGGACCACGTCTAGTTAATTGCTAAAAGGAACTACCTTTTAGTAATGGCAAGAAACCTTTTAATTGCATGAATATACTGATACATAATTCTAACCAAAAGGGTAGTATTTCAATTTTTTGAAATGTTTCTTCTGCATTTAAGTTTGTAACAATCATATGTAAACTGAACGTGAAAAAATTATAATTTGGTTCTGATTATTTCAAACTTACGCTTTAAGATCCATTATGTCAGCCAATTACATGATCAAGAGAGAGAGAGAGAGAGAGATATTTAGAAAGAAATCATGCATGCAGGTGAACCTTTTTCTTTGGGACACAACTAGCAAGCATGGAAGTTCACTAGCAAGTAAAATATAGGTAACCAAAAAAAAAAAAAAAAAAAATACACATATCTTTCTGGTTAGATATACATTTACTACAAACTTCGAAAAGCTACACAAGCCATTGCTTTCTCATTAAATCATTCTCGAGAAATCTACCAAGTTCACAGGAAACTGACACTTGAGTTTCTAAGATCCACTCAAAATTACAATGTTAGATTCCAAGAACCAAATAGAACTACTATAAATACGTTTGTTCCTTCCTTCTTCAGCCATTAAGATCCTATTCAAGCCCTTTGCAAAGTGACTTACAATACTCTCTTCTCAAACCCCATTTAGCTATATAATAATCAAGTTCTAATATCTTTCTTGATCCTCATGGCACCTCATGGAGATTCTCTTCCTAGCTCTTTGTCTAGGAACAACAACATATCAAAGCCACCAAAGCTCTCATCTGATCACCTTCAACGAACAGTCTCAGACATTTCATTTGAGTTAACCAAAGAAAGGATTGATTTGAAACTTCCACCAATATCTGAGGTTGAAGATGCAAAGTGTGAGTGCTGTGGGATGTGTGAGGAGTGCACACCAGAGTACATAGATCGTGTGCGTGACAAGTTCCTTGGGAAGTGGGTGTGTGGGTTATGTGCTGAGGCAGTGAAGGAAGAGTTGGAGAAAAATGGAGGAAAAAAAGAAGAGGCTTTAAGTGCACATATGAGTGCATGTGTTAGGTTCAACAAATATGGTAGGGCTTTCCCAGTTCTGTTTCAAGCTCAAGCCATGAAAGAGATGCTGAAAAAGAACAACAATCTAGCAGATGGTGGAAGAAGGGCCAAGTCCATTAGCCCCAGGGACAAAGGAGGGTTAAAGAAAGGAGGGATTGCTCGTAGTTCAAGTTGCATTCCAGCAATTACAAGAGAGATTAATGATATTAAAATAGCCAATTAATATTACTATAAGTGTAATCTTTTTTTTTTCTAAGTTGGTTTTTAATATTTAGGTGTAGAGGACATGGTTTTGTACCATAATTTTTATATGCTGACTACTACACTAGCTACTAGGTTTTCCATTGAATCTCATGTATTAAGAGCCTCGCGCGCATCTCATTTCCACTGGTTTCCAAAAACTTCCATGACCCTTGTTGTCTTGCTAACAGTTGTGCAAGTAATGCGTGCAAGTATACGCGACAACAAGTAATATAGGGCTGTTATAAGTCCTAGTTATCGTTCCCACAAGGATCGTTGGCGTTTTGAAATGACTAAAATTTGTAATTGCTTAAAACTGAGTTCCTATTTGAAAATAGAAGAAATAAAATTGTAAAGTAAAAAATAATCTAGAATGGACCTAAAACACTACTGTTCACTTTTCTTTTAAAATTTTCTGAATTACTTTCCTAAGTTATAAAATAAGAAGTAAAAATGAAGCAACTTAAATGACAGATGTGACAAAAATTTTGAAAACAGAATAGAGATTGAAATATGAAATAACAAAGGAAATTGGAAAATCTGAGTTGATAAAGAGGTTTAAAAAGGTGGGTTGAGTTCTGGCTCTCCTTCCCCACAGTGCTTGAAAAATAATTTGATTAACAAAAAGCTCGTCCTAAGATTCTCAGTTAACAGAACTGTATTGTTAATTTTAATCTCTTAAAAATTATTTTATCCCAAAGTTGCCCACTTCCATATCTCTATGCCAAGTGAGATTAGGACTCTTGATACTCAGGTCCAATATTACATGAGGACTCATTCATTTCTGAAATGAGATCCCTTAGATGATTTCTCATCTAAGTCCATGTGTCTAATGCAGAATCCAGAATTAGTTGTTTCTCAACAACTAAATCCTAACCAAACCGCTGACATTCGGCCAAAATGCAGATAATTTTAAACATTAGAAAAAGCATTAAACAACTGAGATATAAAAATTAAAATCAGAAAATCAAACATTTAACAAGCACTGAGGTTTGGGTATCACCTAAACCCAACCTCTAAAAAGTTAGCCACTATCCATATGGATGAGGCTTACACACAGTAACAGAAAACTAAAGAAATTACAAAAGAGAAATGCTAGAAAATAAATTACAGCACTAGCCTAACGACCAGCAATTTCAGTGCTGTAAATACATGCATCGAGTTCATCAAATGAACCAGAATCTCATTACAAAACAGAACTTAAAAGAAAATAAAATAAAAATTGTTCAGAAAACAAAAACTAAAAAACGGTAAATCAGAACCAGAGAGGGAAGAAGAGACTTCTTTGACTCACTCCTCTTTCCCTTTTTATAGGGCTCCTTTCCTTCTTTGCACGATTTTTCTCTCCAGCTCAGCAGGTGTTACGCGCTTCTCGCGCGTTACAGGCAAGTGGTCCCCAACAGCTCCCTCCTCAGACAATCTGAATGGATTGTTACTCCTTCAACCCGTACGTAAACTTGTGCCCGAAAAACGCTCCAGCCTCACTCTCGAAAAGTATCCAGCTCACCACTCAGTAACGGTTTTTCTTTTGTCCTTTTTCTAACTCAAAATAGTGGCTAGGTTCTGGTTGTTTCTCAAAGCACTAATCTTCAATGGCTAAGGTTCCGTGGTTTGCGAAATTGTGCGGTTTGGTGTGTCAATCGGGTAGAAAGGGTGCAAACGATGGAGATGGGTTGAATGAGGGTTATGGTTCGGTCAGAGAGAAAAGGCGTTAGGGTTTTTTTTCTGATCCTTGCTTTTTTTTGTTTTTCTTTCTTCTGATCCCATCAGCTTCCTCTTTCAATTTTCTTTAACTTGGGCCTTCAACCAAAGATCCAGCCCAATTCCTCCTCTTATCTTCTTCTCTTCCTTTCCCTTTTTTTTTCTGGGCTTTAGTATTTTAGGTCCGGCCCATTACTTTCTTTTTGCTTTTTCTTTTCTTTTCTTCTTTGCTTCATTTCCTGATGATTGTTAACAAAATGGGTCTGTAAAATAACAAGTTTAAGCCCATTAAATTTCAGCTCAACATGAATTTTTGGGGTATTTAATCACAAAAGTCATTCATTTCTCACCAATTTCACTCTAAACCATATGTTCTAAGTCTCATTAAAGAGACTTATCAACCCTCTTTCGGGATAAAAATGGCCTTATGTCTGAGGGGAAGAAACCCAAACTTGTTGCCTCCTCAGTTTTTTTTTGGTCAGTAACCTTTCAGTCCTTCAAAAGTGGGTCCTTCTGAAGATCATGTTTCTTTCAGACAGGGTTCTTCTTATTTTGTTTTTGGTTAGTAGTTTTTTTATCTATAATTTCATGAGATGTATTCCAGATTTTACCAATCATATAGTGGAATAAAATGTACTTGATATTGATTGCTATGTGATACTTGTCGTTTCAACTAGTTTTTTTCTCCCATTTTTAATATTACCAAACGCAAGAGAAAAACTCTACTATATTTGATTGTATTGTATATTTAGAAGAATGATTAATATTAAAAAATAGTGAGAGAAAATAATGGTATATATACATCTCGATCGAAACACAAAGTTACGTGATAGAATTAGGGGAATGTTATATTTACAAATTTTTTTTTTACTAACTCTTACGACTGGTCATACTTCAATCAAAAATATATGACTAGTTATACTTAATGTAATTTATAAAAAAAATGTATAAACGAATTTTCCCCCATAGAATTATATATAGTTCCACTCCAACACACTTTCATTCAGTAATCTATATATATATATATATATATATATATATATATATATATATTTATTGTATTATACATTTATACTTGTATCGGTCATGATTGCTTATAGAAATAAATTTTTACTTTCTTATTTTTGTATTATTTTAATAAAATCAAGTCATAAAATTGATATTTACTTTTATTAAAATAAAAAAGAGCTATTTATCTACAACATACATAAAATAATTCCTCTTATAATCGTCAAGCAAACCGTCAAATACCTCACGTCAATACATTAATGAATTGTTTGACCGCTAGTACTCTTTCCAATTTCAATAACTGGGCAGAGTACATTTTTAAAAAGCCTATCAGCAATTAAACGATTTTAGGCCAGACAATTGTGTATCTGGGCTTCAAGGTGCTACTTGAAGCTCCAAGATCAACAATATTTTTCTGATTACAATCCCAACGAAATCCACTGCAGTCAATACAATCTGGTAGCAGGAATTTTCCGATATCAATGAGCCTCACTTGCTTCTACCACGCCACATCAAATATGCATAATTATTTTGAGTCAATAAAATTTGCTTAAATTGTACATATTATATGAATACCGCAAAGAACCAATTCAACCCAAAAGCTTAAACTTTTGGGTGAGGCTACATTAATGGTTTTATATATCTTAACACGTCTCCTCACACGAGAGCCCATTGGACTTGAAGGGTGGGGATAATGCACATGCCCATCTACTTGTGCGAATTAAAGAAATTTCACTTGAAAGAAAGCGGGGGGCGACGAGGATCGAACCTGGGACACGAGGCTCTGATACCATGTAAAGAACCTTGGGATACACCACCCCAAAAGCTAGCTCAGAGAGTGGGAGTGCCCAAGGCCTTATAAACTCCACATGCATTAGTTGCACATACAACCAATGTGGAACTATATATCTCAACGCGCCCCCTTACACGAGAGCCCATTGGGCTTGAAGAGTGGACAATACAACAGACCTAACCTACCTGTGCTAAGAAGCGCCACAAGAAAAAATAAGAGGCGGCAAGATTATGTACCATATAAAGAACCTTAAGATACACCACCCCAAAAGCTAGAGTGGTGCATCCCAAGGTTCTTTACAAATACAATTTTAATATAAAAATCAATGACTGAAATTGTAATTCATATATGCATCTTTTGTATGTAACTAGCTGGTATGGATAGTACAAATTTTGGACATAATAGGAAAATCAATTCAGTGATTTCCTCTTTCTCTCTCTCTCCTCACATTCTCTTTCTCTTTTCTTCCGGACCATGTGTGTTGGGAGCACGTTAAATTTGCTCAATGGAGTCATGAATGTAATATTAGGCAGCATTAGAATGCATGACTTTTACATTTCATTTTAAAAAAAGTTGAAATAAATCAAGCAAGAAACTACTGGGGCGCATCAACTTCTTCATTACACTTCTTGCATATAGTTATTTGTTCCTTTCTTTGCTATACTCTCTTCTATCTCTTATCCTGAGCTAGATTTTTTCCCCCCTTTTATGTTTGCAGTTCACTAGCAAACTGTTGTTTAGGTTTTATAAGTTGATTCAAGCATTGATTCAGACATTTTATATATTGCTTCAAGTTTTAACAACATTATTAATTTCTCGCATATGTGGGGTAAATTTGTTTCAGACATCATGCATACTTTGTAGCAGAAATTTGTGGTTCCTTTGAGTTTAGAAGTTGAGTAATCGCGTGATGGTTAGAATTAATTAGGAGTTGGATGAAAGTCTCTAATGGGAATTGTCATATTTCCCAGTACTCAATGGAATTATATATGGCTAAATTGTATTCTTCTCTTAATTATGTGATTGACGAACCTTATTCAGTATTTGTCGATTAATCGAAACCTTCTTTTTAAGTAACGAGTAGCATAAATAAATTTTTAAATGTTATAAAATATCCAACAACAAAAAAAAAGGGTAAGATTGATGCAATTAAGAAGAGTGCAATACTACTACTCTTAGAAACACGAGATATGCTAGCTAGTACTCCAAAGTATATCTTCAATGATTTATGCTAAGGATATGAATATTTGTCCTTGAATACTTTTTTATTTTGTGCATGAACAATTGTAGCATTGTTACCTCGCCTTGAACTTAACAAAATAATTTTATTCAAACATAAATTCATTTCAATTACATGAATTAAACTCAATGAGACCATTTTATATAGAGATTTTACCTTCATCCAATTGATAGTGTGCACTAAACTACAAATTTTAATCTCACGTGAGAGTTCCTTATGGTCTACACAATGTCACGTGACGGTTCAACCCACTACTTTAAGGCAGCCCCCCCCACTAATAATGGTCGGTTCATGAAAGTAATAATAAAATCTAAAACGAAAGCAATACGAAATATCCATGCACCCACAGGTTCTTCAAATTATAGGGTAGGTTGATTAAAGTTCATAACCTCCACATTTAACATTTTTCTTCTCCTAGTTTACCACATTGCGCGGACACACACACATATATATAATAAGACCCTTGCCCTTCCTCTTCATTCCATTCCTTCTTGTCTCAATCTCTCTCTAGTCTCAAAAAAAAAAAAAAAAACTCTCTCTTTCTCTCCCTCTAAAATTCCAAAACAAATAAAAATAACTAGAAATGGAAAACAATATACCAATAGTTGCTAAGAGAGTGTGGAGCATATTACGTGTGGCCTTGTTCATGTTGAGAAAAGGCATTTCAAAGGGGAAGCTAATGACGGACCTCAACATGATGCTCAAACGCCGCGGCAAGCTCGCCGGAAAAGCCATCACCAACCTCATGTTCCACCACCACCACCACGGTGGCTCCACCTCAAGCCGCCACTCCCATGATGACTCACGTCTAAAATTCACCGCCACAAGGGAGTACGAGTTCAGCTGCAGCAACACACCAAACTACTTCTTCGCCAACAAGCGCCACCGCCACAACCATCTCTTCACGTGCACTCACGCGCCGCCCACACAGGACGATGATGTGGTGACCGTTAATGCAGTTAAGGCTGTGATAGAGATGCTAAACAATGATGTCATGGCCGTGGAGGCGGCATCACCGGCGGCGGCTCTCCCCGGGTTCGGGCGAAGCCCCAGGGTGAGGCAGTTGATCAGGGTGACGGACTCGCCGTTCCCACTGCGAGACACGGAGGAAGACAAGGACAACCAGGTTGACAAGGCTGCGGAAGAGTTCATAAAGAGGTTCTATAAGGAGTTGAATTGAAGAAGCAAACTTGAGCCTTGTTGAGTTCCTTGGTTAACAAACAATGTTAAGTGGTTATGATTATAATTAACATGATAATTAAGCTATATAGTAAGCATGCAGTTTTGGATATATATGTATTTTGATGATATTTAATTAATCTCGAGTTTATGCCTTTGTATGGGCTTAGGAGTTAGGAGAGGACTACGCATGTTAATTATATTGATCGAGGAAATTTTTATGTGTAGTAGTTGCTTATATATGAACAATAAAAAACAAGTTAATGAGTGTAATTAACTCTCCATATGTTTCTCTTCAATTTTTTCTGTCACTTTTCTCTCTCCATTTTTGTGTTGAAGTTTTTAAGGAGCTTGCTTGTATGCATGATCATCTACATAGCCCTTTTTGGGTTTTAAGCTATGAAAATAATACTCTAAATTAAGAACGTGAAAAAAATTGAAAACAGGAAAATTTGTGAGTAAATGGATACAACATGGTCTTGTGTTAATCTTTCATTAACAATTGAAATCATAAAACTCAAGGTATGTAGCATATCCTTAACAAGCTGGGGATCGATCAATGGAATATTCCCGTTGACCGTACACCCTCTTGTACTCAAAGAACATTGAATCTTCTCATTTGAAATTATTAGTATTCCTAATTAACTAGCTTGCATATTGTTTATGACCAAGCTTTCTCTTTTCCTTTCCTTACACATTATAATTATTCATCCTACTTGATCTTTTATTTAATTTGTATTTTCTTCAACTTTCTTGCTTCTTGGTTTTACCATTTTAATTTCATACACACCTTTCAGCAAGCTAATATTGTTTATTAATTTACTAGAATTAATTTTCCTGCCGTAGATATATATAGCACGCTCCAAATTGTATAATGACCACAATTGGTGACAATTATTGTAATATGTATCTGTGCCTGAATTATGACAGATTTGGACCTTTCACATTGTGTGATTGGTGACCCTGATTTGGTTTAAAGTTAAATTGGCTTTAACAGAAAGACCACCACTACATTGTCTTGTATGATTCCACTAACATCAAAGTGAAACTATAGCTGTCCCCTCTCATACATAAATATTGCTACCTTTCTCAACAGTGGCCTTCTTCTTTTTTTCCCTCTTTTGCTTTTGCTTTTGGCATTTAATGACTTTTTCAAGTTTTATTAGATCCCACTTTTCTTCTGCTTAAGCTGGTTGCTATGAAAAAAAGTTTCCTCGCCTCCATGGGAACAAGACTCACAAGCTAAATATCTAGTGGGTGTAAATACGCCAGACGAATTATAGAGGTTACAGCCTGTCCTACCTTAAGCCTGTCTTACTCTATTTTTAAAATAGAGCAGATTTAGGCTTTTAAAAATTTCCATTTAAAAATTAGGATATAAGCCCGCTTTAAAAAGTTTGGCCTAAAAGTCTACCGGCTAACATTTTAATTTTTTAATAATATAATATATTTATGATGTATAATGTTCATTTAAAGACATATTCTGAAATTTACCGAAAAAAAAGATATATTCTAAGATCACGATTTGTAACACTAATTTTCAAAGTAATAGGATTGATTTTATTTTAACAAATAATAAATAATATTTATTTAAAATTTAAAATATAATATTAAATGAAATTAGTAAAAAAAGTGCACAATATATATATGTATATATATATATATATATATATATATATGTATATACATATATACATATAAATAATATTTCTAATATCGTAGGAGATATTTTTATCTTCTACTCACATATAAAAGTGTGTGAGATTCATTTGAGGCCATGCTAGAAGAAAAGTAAAAAAGAAAATGTGGGCTCCATACACTTTTATGTGTGTGTAAGAGATAATAAAACATATGGAATAAGATCCTTTGACAATTGTATCTGTTTTGATATGATATATCAGGATGTCTAACCTAATGGTTGGTAATGTTTATGTTGGATCTATATGCCCTCCTAAGGCATCTATGAATGAGATACCTTTGATGATATGTGGATCACTGTGCACAATAACAAACGACAAAGTCAAAGCGTGGGGTATGTGCACGGTGACAGCTAAGAGGGAGCGGGCTTTGAGAGAGTGTGTGTGTGTGTGTGTGTGTGTGTGTGTGTGTGTGTGTGTGTGTGTGTGTGTGTGTGTGTGTGTGTGTGTGTGTGTGTGTGTGTGTGTGTGTGTGTGTGTGTGTGTGTGTGTGTGTGTGTGTGTGTGTGTGTGTGTGTGTGTGTGTGTGTGTGTGTGTGTGTGTGTGTGTGTGTGTGTGTGTGTACATTATTGATTTAACGGCTTATTATAGATAAGTTACCTGACAGGAATGGACTTCAGGGTCTTTTAGGAATATTGGGGGTCCAATTCTTGATCCATTGTTGTTGTATTAGGATTCGTACATTTAAGAAATTTTTTCTTTATTCCCTTTTAGCCGTTAGCCCTTTCTGGGCTTTCTTTAATGTGAATCTTTGTCAGGTCCGTAACAGTTGCCCCCTAGCTCAGTAGTCTGGTTATCTGGGCTGCCGGGGTGTATATTATGTCGAACTTTAGTTCTATCTGACAGGTATATCTGGGTCGTTGTCCATCGCATTCGGTCGCGTTTGTGATTATTTTTAATATTCTTAGTATTTGGAGGTCAACCATGTTCTTGATTTGAGCTTTTTTTAGCTTTTTCTAACAATTCGTATAGCTTCAATTATCTTGTTGTGTAGAATTTTTACCTCGGACATCCTCCTTTGCTTCCCTACCCGGTAGCTTGGGTGTCCGAAGTGAAGCACACTGAATTATTAATCTTGTTGGACAAACTTTCGCGACTGAGGTTTCTATTAGAAATGGAGGAATTTTCCCCTTAACCTCTTTGTCGGGGTTATCTCGACCTTCACGGGCTATGAAGTTTTTACTAGAATCCATTTATTCTTGTTGATCTGTGTTCCGGATATATTCTTTCTTATTTCACTTTTTCTTTTGTGTCGGGCTTCATGAGTCGTGTACCGAGTACGCTATTCCAATATTCCTCCCTCAACTTTTTTGGTTGAGGTACATAGCTCGGTCTAGTTAACCATCTTTTTTACCTCTTACCGAGATCTTGACTTACGAGGATTGCTGTTTTCCTTATTCAATTTTGATTGTTGTGTTTCTATACTTGCCCCCTAGTCTGGCAGTCTGAAAATTTGGGTTGTCGGGCTTCTTTATTTTTGTGCTCCGGTCATGTCCGGATCCTTATTATTTGAGGACTCCATTAGGTGGCTGTCTTATCCATGCTTCTGCACATCCTTATTTGGGCTGAGTAGGATGTTTTTACAAAGGTGATATTTTCACCTCCTCATTTTAACTCACATTCATTTGCCATGGTTTTCTCCGTTTTGACTCGGTCCGAGTCTTCTTGTTTTGTCGATTATAGCCTAACTTCGATCACCGGGTCTTTTTAGTTGTTGACTTGGTTTTTTGCCTAAGCCTTAATCTTTGGTGTCATGTGCCTTTCTATTCTGACCTGGTCTGGTCGTGTTATTTGCATTATGTGGATTTCGCGATCTTATATTAGCTTGACATCTTGTAATGTGACTTTATTTTATTTGAAACTCGACTTATTTGCTGAGTCATGTTCCAGAAAGCACTAGTTATTCCTGCATATATTTTAACTCGACTTCTTGTGTAGTGGTTTGGTTATTCGAACTTGCCTAACTTGCCAAAATTTCGCGATAGCATCACCATCTTCATTTTTAGCACGACTTAGCATATCGTGATTTATTGATTGTGACTTGATCAGAGTCATTTTGTAGTATTCGGGAGGGCGATGTTCGCCTCTTTATTCGAGCCCTGTTTCTTTCTCAATGACTTTATTATCTGAGGCCAGCTTCTTTGGCCGTGGCCTTTTTATTTGAGCCCTGCCTCTTTCGCGATGACCTTTTGATTTGGGCCCCGCTTCATTTGCGATGACTTTTTTACCTGAGGTCAGCTTCTTTCACCATGCCTTTTTATTTGAGCTTGACTTCTTTGTTCAATTTACGTCCGATTTCATGTACGGGATTCTTTTGAGTTAGGAGGACTCCAACTTTGATGACATCTTGAGCCTTACTCATGATGAGCTCGGATGCCATGATGTTGAAATCTTTGTCTTATTGTTGACTTAGCATTGACCTAAGTCTTAATATTGCGAACGTGTTCAATATCTTGTGTATATCTAGCCTGTTCATCTACCGTAGCTTTGATTATTTTTAACTCGGCTTTTTCACTTAAGTTTTAATTTTCCAAAGTTGTTTCTGCCATTTGATCTATTTAGCCCAAATTTTCCATTTGCGGCTTCTATTTTCGACTTAGCCAAGGTCCTGCTATCTGGACTCAGCTTATGTGCAGAGCCCTATTTACAAAGGTATCTATTTGTTCCTTCGTTTTACTTTAACCCGGATTCATATGCCGATGTCATATCGATTTTAGGCTGGTTTTTTTCAGAACTCGTGGTGATATCGCGTCCCATTTTAGCCTGACTTCTCTGTCGCGGCCTTCATAGGTTTCGGCTTGATCAGAATCATTTTGACGATATGCACTTCTCTGAGTACGGCTTACCTTGCCGCGATGCTCTAATATCTGAGTCTTGCGTCTTTTGCATTGGCTTTCATATTTGAGCCCCTGCTTCTTTTACAGTGGCTTTATGAACTTGACTTGCAAGTCCTAAGTGTATGAATGTGATTTTTTCGCTTTTATTTTCTAACCCTGCTTCGTATATCGTGGTTTCATAATATTTAACTCGGCTTTTTGCCAGAGTTTCAATCTCTATGTCATCATGCTGACTTGATCAGTGTCGTTTCACTCTGCTTTTTAAATCTTAGCTTAGTTAAGTTTACCATAGCTTACATGTATCGACTTCGTTAAAGTCATTTTTGATCACAGAAGCGTCTTCTTGTTTTCCCTGAACCCGGCTTAACACCCTGGTGTATGCATTGCGCTTTTACTCGAACCCGACTTCATACCAAGGTTCGTACAATGCTGAATTTTTATTTTGACTTCGGCTTATTTCATCATTTTGATTTGTAAGCCATTTTTATCGCAGAAAGTCGGTCTCTATTTTAATAAATAATTTTTATCCTGGATGGTTGGTCTCTATTTATTCAACCATTTTTATCCCGAAGGGCCGATCTTTAATTAATAAGCCATATTTATCCCGAATTGGATCCGACTCCAGCTTTATCTCGGATTTATATTTATTCAGTATTGAATCTCTCCACATCCATCTTCAACTTTATCTT